GGATTAAATTTAAAACTCATTTCTCAAATCATATATGTAATTTGGATACCTTGACACAGAGAACAACATACAATCTGAGATTAAAGACATCTTGTGTAAGTGTTTTCAGCACAACTTCAGTTCTTTAGATTTCAAATAATTAAATGTATAAATATACACGTGGAAATTGAGTTACTCAGCATCTGTTATTAAACCAGTAATCATGGTTTATCCATATTCCTCACATGTTTTGAAAAATCGAAACTACTGATGTATGGTCTGTTTGTTTATCCAATATTAACATCCACATGTCTGCTTATGCAGTGATGACCGTATTATTCAAGATGGTCAGATATTTGTAGTAAGGACAGCCACAAAATATCCTTGTCCTCACTACTACAAACTAGTTAGGAAACATTTAATTTAACAAAAGATGAGAGACTGACAGATATACCTTGCATCACTTTATCAAATAGGAAAGTAAAAATAGCTCAAATTCAAATTCCACCCACGTAAAAAAAACGTCATTTTGCCTTTCGTAGGGTGAGACTTGGTGATGGGAGATCTAGGATTTTGAAACGATTTGAGTAATGATATTCTTAAAAATATAACTTGGAGCACTGATTCCTATGATAATTTATAATCACTTGGAAAAAGCCATAGATATTAATTTCGATTTTCTGTTCAAACTTAATTAAGATTATTTAATATTAAATTTTGATTTTAACGTAGATGATTTTACTTGGAAACTTAAAATTATAGACGACAATTTTTTTATCAGAATGGGAGTTCGTAGAGATTGTAGTAATTTTAATAGTCGAATTCATGAGTAGATCTAAGCTAGACCACGATTGAAAACCAAGGAGTATTGGACAGCTGTTTCGTCCCAATATGGGACCCCTCAGCAGCGCACACGCGGGACTCGAACCCAGGGAAGGTTTTCAGTTGATAGAGAAGTTTGTTTGTTTACTAACAAGTGATGTGAGTAATAAACTATTTTTCACAAAGTACACGTAAAGAATAAAAATGAGATAATACCACTTTGTGGAATTTACTCAACCCATAAGTCTTCACTTAAAAAAGATGATGAATAGGTTTGTTTTTTGTGAAGTTAGTTTCCATCACAGGCTGACTTCATCTAAAGAACGATTGGAAATCTGTGGGGAATGAAACTTAATACACCAAAGGTAACAAATGCAGAAGAATGTACGTGAATAAAAGTTAATCCGCTTTTTTTATTCTACTGGCACTTAACTTCAAATAAATATCTAAACGCTTTAGTATATCTGGTATGCAACTAACAATAGAATCCAAGAAACGTATCTCATTCTATTTGAAATTTGTCAGTTATATTTACCTACGTTCGAGAGTTGAAGTTCACACTGTTATTCAAGTCCAATAACTTTCGCTTCAAATAACATTATCATTTAAACCACTGAGACCGGATGATCACCAACGTCTTTGACTAAGATGGTATTAGTAAGAGTTTATACCTTCGCCTTGGTGATGTTTGGCGCTAAAACCAATCAGTCCCTGTTGTTATTTACACATCATGACAGGTTTGTCACGATAGAGCTTTTAGTCACAAGTTTTTAGTACAATTGGTATTTGAACAATAGTTCAGAAAGATTTCTTTTTATTCAGTTCAATATTTTAGAAAAAATGAAATGTAGGCTTTCTTTGCAACATATATATATACAACTACCATTTATTCCCAGACAGTGTGAATGGAACATTGAAGTAGGTCCCCCAACTCTAGCAGAAGTTCAAAAGGCTATAGTTAATCTGAAACGAGGAAGGGCAGATGGATTGGCCCCAGAAGTCTTTAAGGATGGTGGTCTAGTTTTAGCGATTAGGTTGACTAATATTTTAGCTAAGATCTGGGAGTTAGGCGTTATTCCATCTGACTGGTCACAATCACTTATTGTCCCGACATATACGAAGGGGTCAAAATCATCCGGTGATAGCCATAGAGGGATTAGTTTGACTAATATAGTATCTAAAATACTAGCCTCGACAATTATCAGACGCCTAACTAAGACTCGTAAACTGCAAACACGAGAGAATCAAGCTGGCTTCAGACCTGCTCGTGGCTGCATCGACCACGTACTCACCATTACTCAGGTTCTAGAACACAGGCATACTTATCGGCGTCCGACGATGGTGGTCTTTCTTGACTTAAAAGCAGCATTTGACTCTGCAGAGCGAGAGGTTCTGTGGCAGTGTCCGTCACTGAAAGTTGTACCTCAGAAGTACATAAACCTTGTGAAGGCTCTCTACTCGAACATTACTAGTCGAGTCAGAGCTTATGGCGAGCTGTCATCTGCTTTTGCAACCTCAAGTGGTGTACGTCAAGACTGTAAACTTTCTCCATTTTTGTTCAACTTCATCATAGACATACTGATGGAAATAATGTTCTCGTCTACTGAGTTCTGTGGCATTAATCTCCTTCCAGGAGGTCCACTTATCGACTTGGAATACGCAGATGGCATAGTCCTGTTTGGTGAAGACGCTGATAAAATGCAGAATCTTTTAGCAGTACTGAGCAGAAATCCCAAAATGTTTGGGATGCGCTTCTCCCCCTCTAAATGCAAGTTGTTGCTTCAGGACTGGTCTGCGTCGATACCTGAACTAAAGATAGGGAGTGAAATTGTCGAATGAGTTGAAAACTTCATTTATCTTGGAAGAATGATCAGCCCTAATGGGTTGGTGTCCGACGAAATCTCAGCACGGATTCGAAAAGCTCATTTGGCGTTTGCCAACTGACGTCACCTATGGCCAAGGTGAGATATCCGTCTATCAATTAAGGGACGAGTATACTGCGCGGCAGTCCGTTCTGTTTTACTTTTCGGCTGCAAAGCATGGCCATCAAGAGTAGAAGATACTCGTAAGTTACTAATATTTGACCACAGATGCCTTAGAAATATTGGTCGCATCTGCTTGGATCATCGGGTAAGTAATATTGAGGTTAGACGCAGGGTATTAGGGAATGATGGTATCTTCATCGACTGAGATGGTTGAGCCACGTGTTACGTATGCCTGAACACCGATTACCACGACGTGCAATTCTAACCGGTGTTGGAGATGGTTGGAAGAAAGTTAGGGGCGGCCAAAACAAAACGTGGCATCAGTGCTTGAAGACACTAACCTCTAGTCTGAGCCATGCTGGTAGATGCAGACTACTTGGTTGGGGTCTGCGTGACTATCATAACCAATGGTTGGAGACTCTTGGTGACATGGCTCAGAATCGATCACAATGGCGTCGGTGTATACACTCTTTAACCATGAGACCAAAGTTATTTCACATCTTTCTTTCTGTACTACATCCTTACATAAGATCATTCCTTTATATATTACACCATTGAGTTAACTGCTTCTATGAATCCGGTGTTCGCCTCGCTGTGCTAATGAGGTGTGGCAACTTGGACCGATGAATGTGTGTGCCTGGTCCTACGTTGTAAATGAGTGAATGACTACTTAGGATATTAAACATCAGCTCATTATTCATTACGGCTGAGTTAAACTACCTACTTACGATTCACGAGGCAACATAATATCAAACAGCTGAGTAATTTCAGTAAAAAAATTGTCAGTCAAATGTGAAAGTACTTGTTATTCCTACAAAGGATGAAGTAGCGACAATGAGACAATCAGCAACCTCTAACAGCATTAAAGACCATTGTATTCATAATCAGTGACCAACGATTAGTTCATACGCCATTTGTTCCCGCAGGATACTGGAGCCCATGTGTACCATTGATTTGGAATCCGGTTAAAGCGCCGGACATCCGCTTTTGGTCCTCTTAATTTCGCAAACAGCACCCCCGCCACGAGTAGGCAGTGAGTAGGACATCTCTGGCAGAGGCTGTATACGTGAGCCCGTGTGAGAGAATTTCGAGAGGCAGGACGGGCCCACCCCACTCCCGGCCATACTAGGGATTCAGATATACAGACAAAAAACTGTCAAATTCTAAATTTGTCTTCTCATTTAGTGAAAAGATTGTCATAATGTAAGAAAAACACAGCATCTGTTCTCACATTTTTCGATTCTTTTCATATATGTTAGCACAATTATATGAAAATTAGGTATAAATCAAACACGACAGTTCTTACACTGGTTAAAATAACCAGATAACTAAGGTTCACTATTACCTTAGTCAATCTCAGTCCGCATTCGTTTCCAATCATTTTGATATATATTTACAAACCTAAAAATCACTTTGAATAACGCATAACCAAAAGTGGTTTGATGAAAACTTTACATGAAATTGGAATACAAGTGAGTTTTATCACAGTGATGATAGGAAATTCGCATCTCAATAAGGGTATAATTTTCAGTCTTAGTAAAACCATGTTTCGCCTTAGAAATAGTGAGCTACTTATGAGTAGCTTAACTCTAAATCGGGCAAAATATAAAAGAACTAAATGGACCTAATTTTCCTTTCTTAATATATTGTACAACTTCACAAGTACTAAGACTTTGGATTTAGGTCATGACCACGTTCCATGAACCGATAACTCACTAGTTCTACGAAACTAGCCCGCATATGTTGCAATTAAAAAAAGAGTAATGTGGAGGACAGATGAAGGGTACTAGGTAGAGATAGAAAGCTGGTTGATGAAGCTGTGTTACGCACGACTAGTTACTGTCAACCGTGATGCATTATTTACCATAGCATGGGTGTATTTTATGAAAACAAGGGTATATGAGGGGGAGTCAAATAATTGACTGCCTGTCTGCGGAAGTAAAGGTTAATTAGTCTGTGAAATCCTTTAGTAGTAGACTGTTAGTTTAAGAGTGATTCAACAATCACAAATAATGGGAATAATACATACAGGTGTGGGATGAGAGTCAATAATTATAAATGATCTCGGGAGCAACTGAAGCTTACACAAGATTGACCAAACTTGCATTTACTTACGAATAGCAGTTTTTAATAATCGAGAAAATAACATTAAACTTAGATTTCTTTAACCAATGAGTAAATCAGTCATATTTTTGAACATCAAAAATAAATACATGTAAAGTAATAATATATTTTTATACATTACAAAACATATTAATGACAAGCATGCGCACAAAAGAGATCAACTAAAAATGAAGCTGGCAAATAAACTATTTTGATTCATATACAAATAAACGATTAAAAAGTATAAAAAATGAAAATAAACGGATAGCTCGAGAATAAAATATAGACGAAATTGTTTGTAAGATAAAAACAAAATAAGCGCTAGAATAGGCACTTGTAAAATGTACGACCTTCAACAAATTTTATTGACACACTTGATTAATCAAGTGTTTTTGAAAGTTTTTGTTGATTAACAAGAACATATGAATTAACGGTGTTTATGCAATAGAGGTAATAACGTATAATAACTGATAGAAACTATGAACCAAGAAAATGTTAGACTTTTAAAAGAAAAAGATCCTTATGATATTTAACAGACAATCGGTTGTCGGATTACTTCACTGACAGATTTCACATTGTTATAACTCATCATGACCAATTAGGATTTCCCCAAAATTGGTTGCCTGGCTACCAACAAATAAGTCGTAACGATTTAGTATTTCGTTTTTGCTGAGTTTTCCATCCTAAATAATATTAACAGAAATTTTAGAAAATACGCGATATATAATTGACAAAATAAAAGTTTGAGTAAAATTTGTTTCTACCGAGAACAAATTAGATCGATATGTATCCCATACACAAAATGATAGTTGGTAACCATTGTAAATGACGGGGATGGTCATAATTGTACAAGTCTATATTGCTGACACTAGCATAAAGGCTTTCTCGAAAAGGATAACATACTATTTATCACATGTTATTCGAATAAAAATACTCCTCTAGATCCGGAAATCTTCAGAGTTCAATATTAAACTGATTTTTTGGTTGGAAAATACAAGGTTACGATTAGCATGGAAAACAATTAAGAGCCATCTTACCTTTTAAGTCTCTTGATATAAATAGCAACAAAAACCTACAATGGCAAACTGACAAGTATTATAAAGACACTAGTCATATCTGAGATCATATTTACGAAAAATTACGAAGGCACAATAATCAACATAAGCTCTACCTGATCTGCATCTGATTCTGAGAATAAATGGGTTACTTCTGCTTGGACATGATTATAATCTTCAGGTACGATCCATTTGCCGACCTCATCCAGATCCAGTTTTCCATCCCCATTAATATCGCGTCGTTTGGCAAATTCCTCTCTTTCAGTTTTAACCCATTCAGGCTCCGTTTCATTAGGTGAATTCGGAGACCACAGATCTTCTACAAGACAAATTCCCAATAAACATCGAATAAGGATACTTAGAGTACCAATAAAAAATCAATGATGAAGCGTAAAACTTCACTAACTCTTCAAGCTAATTTACCAGTAGTCAGATGAATGAAAAAATACTGTTTGAAGGCCAAAGTCCTCAAGTATTTAATCAGTGTGAAAGAATTAATTCTACTTGACATTAAAGTTTGAGTTAAACATTCCCATTTTAGAATCAACTGGATAATTTTTTGCCCCATTATGTGCTCAACTAGTTTCTGTACCTTCTGTGACAATCTGTAGACTCAACGAGTATTTTAGTTGACTACCCGCCCATATAAAACTTCAGTATTAAAGATGATTAACAGTGGAAATACTTAATTGTTCCGTTATTACTAACGAATAACCTTTTAGTGATAAAGCCCGTGATAATCTCGACTGATCACAATATTAGTCTGTCAATTAGTCGAAATAGGTAGTAAAATATTTAAGAATCGGGAAATAAACCATGGATAATACGTAAGAACATTCGTCTAAATTTGATCGAATAGTTTCACAGCACATGTATTCGATCTCTGGTTTTGTTAGCGATCCTACCCAGTTGTACCACAATTTAAACCAAGAGATAGAGACTCCATAAACCAGTATTACATATAAACCTGATAACCCTTAGCCTTCTTACACCTAGTTCCACTACTATCAGGGACGGACAAAGTTAGTCGAAAGCAATATAGAAACTAGTAAATATATGCATCGGTCCACATTGCCACGCCACGGCACGTGAACATAACGATATATATATCAACGTAGTGAAAGTAGTAATATCAGTGTTAGCAAAGCAAATTAAGCATAGAGAATGTGATTCGAGAACTAGTTTGCGGGAATGAAAAATACAAAATAATTTTGGAACTCAGAACTTAAGGAGAGACAAAGAATGAGTGTATGTGCACCACTGAGGCTGATTGTAACCCAATTATTAGCTACAATAGCGCGGACCTGAACCACATGATCAGCACCCACTAACATAACTAACTAAAAATAACTTCATGGACCGGTATCATGAATTGGTTACCTATATTTTCCCCTCAATCTGCTACATCAAGAAATATCGAGTGTCAAAGTAAGAGGTGATTGAATGCAAGTAGTCCCGACCACGTCGGTTGATGAGGATCCACTATCTTATCAGTCGATTTACCATCTTTGCCTAGCACTCTACACGTATATTGTTAAGTAACAGGTGATCCTGTCATATGCTTTAAGGGTACTAATGGTCAGATACTAGCAGTCTACGGATGTTCTTCATTTATAAAGGCCTTGTTGATTTAGAATACCTAGAAAAGGACAAAACAATATAAATTAATGGACATCTACAACCTCATTAACAGGCTTATTCTGCCTACCTTAAAAGTTATACTATCAGTAGTTTAGCCAAAAATAGAGTTTGAAAATAACAACTCAATTAAAGTTTTGACGACCGAATATTTCCGACATAAAAATCTGAAGAAATACATCGACAGTGAAAACTTACTGATATATTCATCAAGATCAACGAAGCTATCATTATTTTTGTCAATTTCTTCCATTGTTTCCTAGGTTTGTAAAAGCAAATAAAATAGTTGAACCACAAAGTGTCTAAAAACTTAATGTAACTTGAAGTAATTATTTACATTAGAGATGAAACTGAAGCTGTTGTGCTTACTTTTTTAATGATAAACTTGGTATTTGTGTTAGACAATAATAAGTATTCATATATGTTTAATTTGGACCAGATAAATGTGAATATTTGACTGGAAATCACTCTAACTTGTGAGTCTTAAAAGCAATGATTAGTTTGTGGTTCAGTGCTGAGGGACTCCTCACTGAAGTACAAAAATGTCCCAAGCATTTGCAACAAGTTATTCAATAATCATCTCGACTACTACCGATTACAAAATTACATGGATATGTTTAACTTAGCAACATCTACAGCTTTTCTAGGGTTACTGTCGGTCCCTAGCCCGGGTAAAGGAGGAGTATTGGGCGTAGGATCAGCAACACCATCCTGTAGAAAACAACCTTGCTAAAAAGTGCTAACCAGAATAAACAATTTAAACTGTTTAAACTCAGCCCTCCAAGTTGAAGGATCTTCATTCAGAATCATGACGTTTACGCGCAGGAAGTTGCACTGATGCTGTCTAAAGCACGTGAAACACCTGTAGGATGGAAATCTCCTGGATCTAGAATAATCAAACCTTCTTTGAAAACAAAGACAAAAGGGATCACAATGAATGTTGTTCAGTGCCATGGACCCACCAATGTTAGCAGTTAAGACGGTAAACATCAGTCTAATGAGACGCTAAAGTCGGCCATAGAGAGGTGCCCAAGAAAGGACCTGACCATCCTGATGAGAGACCTTAACGCCAAGGTCCGAATGGACAATACCAAGTAGGAAGATATAATGAGACAACATGAACTGATTAAGAAAAAGGAATGAGAATGAAGAAAGATTTGCAAATTTATGTGCATTCAACCAAACGGTTGAAGGTGACAGTATTCCCACACAAACTCCTATACGAAGTTACATGGGTCTCACTAAATCACACTACAGAGAATTAGATCGATCATATTTACATCACTAAAACATCCAGAAGATACATGGAAGAACCAGGAAAAAAGCTGACATACCTTCACATCACCACCACCTGGTTGTGACCAATTAGAAACTGAAGCTAAGGAAACACTGGACAACTGGAGACTCAGCATTAAACAAATTCTGTATAGCCTTTCTTCCATATACTGACAAACTCAACGAATTCAAGATAGCTCTCAGAAATGGGTTTCAAGCCATACATGATCCACTAAAAGAAGAGGGAACTACTATGGAGAACAACTGGAAGAGGATCAGAGAAGCACTAACTTCAACGTGTTAGGAGATTCTAAGCCGTAAGAAGCATCATCATAAGTAATGCATCTTGGCCGAAACCATTACCAAGACTTAAGAGGGGAAGAAGACAGCAATTAACAGCAGTCAACAAGCAGAGGAAACCATGTCACAGACCGAGTACACAGAAATAAACAAGAGGGTGAAGAGGAGCATTACGGCCAACAAGCAGAAATACGTAGAACACTTAGCAATGACAGCGTGAAAAGCTGCAAGTGAAATAAATATCAAACAACTATATGACACAAGGAAGAAATTAACATGGAAAACCGTCAATACCAAACAGAATTCATACGACGGACTACACTGCTAAGTCGTGCATAGATGACGGCTGACACTCATTCTAAGTGAAGATCTATGTCAGACAAGGCTGCTTACTCTCGCCCCTTCTCTGTCTTCTCGTGGTCGGGTGGATTGTGAAGAGACCTCCACATTTCAGGTGAAGCATGGAAAACAATGGACAGCTTAGATGCAACTAGACAATTTGGACTTCAAAGATAACCTAGCTTTTCTATCCCATACACACCAACAAATGAGGGTCGAGGTATACGGAGTAGCAGCAGTTTCTGCATCAATTTATTGATTTTTACTTATTTATAAACAATGTTTTACGCAATGTACTCAATGTTCGTTGACTAGATGCCATCAGCAACAACCTACTGTAGCAGAGAACGAACCAGCTTCCAGTTGAAGAGGAAATTAGAAAACGACGTTTGAAGTGGATAGAACACTAAACAAGTGCTAATTAGGGATCGTGAGGGGGGACAAAAAGAAGAAGACCAAGGAACATGCTGCGTTAGAAATTGGAAGTGGATATCAAATGAACGAATGGCAACTGGAAAACATTATTTACGACTGTGTTTAATGGAAAATCCAGGTTGGGAGGTCTACACTTCTCCATGAGGTGTGATAGGCTCAAGTAGGTCCAACATGGATTTTTGGGCTAATAAAAACTATAAATTACGGTCTAAATAGAATTACCATAATCCACAGAGCATACACTGCTCCAAATAACCTGAATGTTATGGAATTATTCGCAAGTGAATATAGGGTATTTTTGAGTAAGCGTATGATTGCGGAGTATATACAAGTTGTTTTCATCGTTTGTCACAGGGCTAACCTTTATAACGACATCTCGCATTTTTGGTTCATGCTCTGGATGAAGGAATGCTAAGTATTCTATTTTTGATAGCTTCCCATCTCCGTCTGCATCGGCAGCCATCCAACGCCTCTTGTCTTTTTCAGAATAGGCTTTCTTTGTTTCATCATCTTCATCTGAAAATACAATTAAAATTTTGTTGTAAGATAGAAATGAATCTGAACATAATGTATGTTAGACGATAGACCTATAGTGTATAAAATAAATGAGAAGTTAACGTACCCTCTAAATCTCCGTCTTCACCAAACAGCTCGTCAACATGTTTCTCCCATGGCAACTTGTCTTCGTCTAGCAATTCGAAATCTTTCCAAGCGCGATCAACATCATCAAGGAGCATTTTTCTGGATACTTTGTTAATCCATACAGTCATTTCTTCGGAAGTGATTTGACCATCATTATTTAAATCAATTTTGTCCACAATCTCACTGAAAAATAATATTCAGAAACTTAAAACCGTTGAACGATGATAGCTATCAGATAATCTTGTGTTTCGTGCAATGTTTATTTTTGAAGACCGAGAACGGAGTATCCATCGTTCCTGAGCATGACGGACTAATACTAATTGCCTGGTCAGAAAATGCGTCCAACCATATGTTTGAAGGGGTTGCTATGAAGCGTAAGTTAGGAACAGTTTTGATCCAACAACCGAAGTGATTCAGCCAGTAAGCCTGCTTAATAATGGCTGTACACTAAACGCGAAATTTGTACACCGGGGCACACTCCAGTATGAGGCCAAATCTCATCGCATGATAATGTACATCAATAATGTTACTCGATGAAAATTAGGAAAGTCCTAACTATAAACAATTGTTTACAGCTCTGGTTTAGTCCATAGAAAATGAGACATTTCGATTATAAGACGTTTTGAGTTTATGAATATAACCCGGGACAGGTAAAAGCGACTGACTAGCAAACATGCCAGATAAAAACATGAACGCTAATATTAACAATAAAATAAGCAAGTCTGTGTAAAACGCTCTTATGTAGGATAAAGAAAAACGTTAAATACCCCAGTTTTTGTTTGCTTTCTTCCGGTGTTAGATCATCGAATCTCTTGGCCTCGTCTCTCCCCAGAAATGCATCATGATCGTATGCTGCATTGTGTTCACCTTCATTGGTATGGGGTGAATTACTTAAGTCCTAGGAAAATATTTCCAGTTGTAAGTAAAATACCTTATCGTTTGTTCGCGGTTTAAATTTCGACTCGACTAACTCAGAACTGAACAGTGTGAACAGTATTACAGCGCAGAACCAACCCAACATCCTCATACTGCAAGTTACAATCCCAATACAAATTCCGTACGACACTCAGAAAACTATTTATACTCGAAGTTAATGTCCAATATACAACTGACATGTATTGATCATAAAATGTTCAATAAACTTTTGGTATCCATCACTTTTGATACTTTTTTCATTCACTAAGCAAATAATTATCGCACATAAGTCGCTAATTTTTCACGGAGACCTCAGTTCAATCATCAAAAATTTCGTCATGTATTCTGAGTACATGATGCCGTTGCATCCTTTCTTGCCGAACTAAAATAATAGGTAAAGTGAAGTAAAATCTTAAAATGAATCTCTCATCAATGATTCTCCTCTTGCGTTCAGCAGCCGTTCACTAACTAAGTGCGAAAATGCTGGATATTTCACACAAACTGTCTAATGAAATGAAGCAGCTTGTGAAGGGCTGTTGCATTGGTATTGAGCATTGGACAAACAATCCGGTAGTTGGATCACTGAATATCGAACAGCTTATCGGCCCCCGACAATGTCAAAGACAACTAACGCGTACCAGTTAATCGAATTCCATGAACTAGCATGTGCGATGGTGGTCGCACTATTTTCTCTGTACCCATTCTTACTATTATATTTCCGTGATAACATCCTTTGTGTTTTACGGTATCAAAGCAACCATATTACCTTGAAATGACGGAGGGATAATCCACGTTAAGTGCTGGATGAAGGGTACGACTTTGAAGTTAGCTATTGGTCACAACATTCCCATTTAACTCTAGTAGGTCCCCAATCATACAGCATAGATCCTTTACATTAGTGATCTACACGCCATAAATTCACGAACATGTATCTTGCTCCCATAGAGCTTACTTATAACTTCTGGTTTACTACATGTAGTCGGAGGCGTATGTCTATGTTTTTATTCATCTTTCAGCTAACCCTGATATTTTTAGCATCTGAATTACTGACATCTTTTGTTCTGGCAAAAAGTTATAATATTTAATTATTTCGTCCGACGAACCAATACTCCGATAAGGTGGTTTTTATTTTTAACTCTGAAGACCACCTAGTTCAATCTATCAGCTTTCATGATCTAGTTAAAGAAGAGTAACATATTATTTGGAGCTCGAAGCTACGTTAAGTATCCAATATATAATTAATAAATCGACCTCGTTGTTGCGGTAAACAATTTTTCAGGTTAATACCCCGACAGATATTCGAGATTCCACTATATCGTTCTATTTTATGAACTAATCAACCAAAGACACACTCAGGCATCCCTGCCGTTTCATAAACTCGTGGTGTGGACTACGCGCTAGTCAAATTAACTCTCTCAGGTTCATCTATTTACATCCTTAGACAAAAAGGCTATTGACTTCAAGTGGTACTGATTTTCAAGTCAGCGACCTACTAATGTATACAAACAATCAGTTTACAATGCAAGATCGGTATCTTCGTTGTCGGATTCTTAGGTGGAACGATGTTACTGACTAATCTCCAGAGTCATAGATTTTGTGTGATAATCTAGAGCCAGCTGGAGTAGTCGTATGATCTAAGGTGACAAGACAATATTTTTCTTAATATCGGATAATTTGATTGCCAGAGAAAAGAAGTATTGAGTTTCCATACCAGTTAACGTTTGTACTCCTACTGTGAACACAGGCTCCTCGGCTAATCACAAACAGCCTATTGTGCTTTAGGGGACAAGCAGCATATTTGTGTATTCAGGCAACATTATATAGGTATCTAGAAGTCAATAAAACTGTGAAAAAGGTGTAGTGACTCTTTTATCACGAGAACACGACTGATTTATTGAAAACAATTATTATTATAACCAATTGTGCCAGTGACTGTTTAATGTGCTCTTTGTTTAACTGTGCTAAAAAATATCCATTATTCTTACACTTTGATTGTGACCTCGCGCGAATTCGGTTACGCTCTGTAACCAAGCTTGTATCCTGGCACGATATCGGTATTCTTTCAATACCCCGAGATTGCCAGCAAATATATCTCGACTTCGTCCATTAATTGCCTTCTGATGTTTGGCTTCCGCGGGATTTTGCGGATATACAGGCGCGTGTTTCTCTGTAGCGGTGTTCGTAGTTGATCGCGACTCGACGCCACGCTACAAAGGTTATGAACTTAGCTAGAAATCTTTATGTATTGCAACTGGACTGTCCTGGTATTTGATGTCCCCATTACTTTCAGTTGAACGTCACGTATAGCATTTAATTAAACTATTCATTTTCCCCCTATCTATTTGATTTGTGCTAATAGGTTTCCCTTTATTAAACTTGGTTACCTAATCTGACAAAACAGACTACGTGACTTCTTTTGTGCTTTTGAAGTCCGACAGGCTGTGGTCGTATGTTCTTCAAAAGTAGCTGAGATAAAGCCTTTAAGTGGTTCAAAAACGAAGACGGCTGTGAACCACTCGACAAATCATGACCATATTTGTGGTTATTCTTTCATCTTTCTCAGTTAAAATTCAAATCCATTAATATAAATCAAGTACGTCTAATCATCGATCCAAGCACTTTTGTCCGCTCTACCGCGAACTTCTTACGTAAAAGTGATAAGCACTTTTAGGCATCAGTAGAGTAAAGTTTAAACTTTGTAACTGAGGTTCTGTGTATGTAAAGATCAATTGAAATAGCTCATTCTTCATGCTACACAGAGTCTGAAGAAGCAACCACATTATAGCATTCATTTTATAAGATACATGACAACAGTGGAAACAAATGCTTACTGTGCCGCATAATCTAGAATCTAAACCCTATTCGTTGGTGAAAAATATGAAATCAAAAGCGACTCGTAAGCCGAAAGTAAATGTTTACTTGCAAGCTCATAGGTTTTTGGAGTCCTCATGGTTTGGATTGTCCTTTAAACTGAGGATAATTTGGATTCGAACACCTCATTGCCTTAGTGACTTCACAAGGTTCGGTATTTGACAGACTTTGATTGTCTTTGAGATGCCGGACGTTGTAAGTAAAACCTAGAGTCCCACTTGGTGACAGTAAGGCGAACTTGTACCCGTTAATTTTTAGGACAATGAAGTATAAGGTGTGACTGGTCTTAGAACATGAATCCAGTGTATTTAATGACAAGAGGTCCTGTTTTTTGTAAAGTTGTGCATCAATTTGTCGTCACTTTCGTACGTTTTAGAAAAAAATGGTGAGCTGTTCTTTCTACCAAACGCAATAACTTGTGCGTATTTGTTGAATGTTTTCCTAATTGGTTAGCGGTAGAGAATATCACATGTGAGGATCCATATTTTTTAGGCTTCATCCTCTCAACTTATGTCTGCCTTCAGATGACATTAGATCGATCTTCATGTCACAAATATTGATTGTGCGTTGTAGCTACAGTTATTATCACACATTTTTTGGATATCAGCCAGCTTTGAACACGAGATGGACAGTTAATGAGGGATTACAACCTAGTTACAGAGCATTATAAGCAAAGATGGATAGTGGCTAGCAGTGGAATCCAGGACGTGCGTTTCGTCCTGTTTGGGACTCATCAGCTGGATGTACCTGCATCTCAGAGTTGATGTTCACTCTGGGACTCGAACTCAGTATTGTTCGCTTCAAACGCCATCGCGTTATCCACTTAGCTACTGAGTCCTGATAGCCACTTGCTTGTGCAATGGGTTGAAGTTTAATTCACTTGATATTGTTTTATTTGAATCTTCCCATTGATGTTTTTGGACTGAAATTGATCAGTCTCTTATTGGCATATGTGCATACTGTGTGTATGCCTCGATATTGCCTTAATTTACAAGTTACTAGTTACAGAGGTTAGTCCATTAAACTTTCTTATGAAGAAATTGGTGTGTGGTCAAAGTATTGTGCATATTAATGTGCAGGTATTTGTTGGGTGAAGTTAAAGTTTCGTATCAAGAGATGTGGCACTGATAAAAGATCAGTTCTAGGTTTTTCCGAGGCATGATGAGGTTAATTTTGGAATCGCTACTTCTCCACTCTGTAGTTGATTCTGGTTATTAAACGCTACTTTTCGTGTTTTATTTGCTTGTTACTCACAATTCATCACAATTGCCGTAGTCAAATATAGGTTATTTCCCTCTAGCAGCAAGAGTGTTAGATTTACTATAATCGCTTTTGTACAATCAGAGAAAAATCAAAGTTATGAAAAGACATCAATAATTAGTGGAAGATCCAAACTACGGTTGGACTGATGGACAGCTGTCTGGATGAGTTAGATACGCTCCCTCGCCCGTTTGAAACCAAAACAAAGTAATTGGGTACGATGACGGTTCTATAATTTATCATGAATTTAAGTGTACATTATTACCTAAACAAATATAACCACTCAGCTATCCAACCAATAATTGTTCAGTTGATTAAATCTAAATTACAATAAATAAGAAAGTTGATAAAGGATGCAAGGAAATTACCAATCACAACAAATAAATGTTATTCTATCCTGTCTGGATAGACCACGTACAGGTTCGTTCAAAAGGTAATAATTGGTCGCTCTATAACACAGTGTGTTTTCAATTCTGGAAGAGTGCTTCACCTCACAACCAAATTGCACAATTCCAGTCAACACAAGTAAAGCAATCAAAAGCAGGAACAAACCAATATAGCTGACTCCAAGACTTAGTATAAAGTAAAACAACATAAGTGCAGATCGGGAAGAAACACGAGGAATTAGTGAAGGTGCAGCAAAAACAAAAACCACAGTAAAATACAAATATTAACAATTCAAATGTAATCAAAAACTAATAATGTACGATGAAAGGGATCAATAGAAAAAAGGTCAAGTATGCACATGGAGGGATTTTCACACACACACAAAACATTCAAAATGGATCTTACAATTAGGCTTAATTCAAAGTACTCTTCGAATTATAACTGAAATAATATATTTTGGCACTAAATGACTCCTAAATATAATTTATCATGGGCAAGGGTGTCGATACCCAATACAGGAGGAAGTGAAAGCGTTTAACTGATGACTAACTGTTACATTGAATACTTACATTTTCACCGTTTTGGATAGATATAACTGTTATACTCAATTTTGGACCTGTTCCTTTAGAATTTTGAACCTGAACATTCTCTGTTTCTTAGTGTTTTGGTTTGGTATGTTCTAAGTTTTGCTCCGGAAACCCGAAAATTGTAGGCTTGTAGCGAACTTACAATAATTACTGTTTGAACAATAGCTTTTGAGTTGATTACTTGTAATTTACGAACAAATTAGAATTCGGTTTTCTGGATATTTCGGTGGTGGGTGGTGAGTAGATCAATCTACCGCGCTTCAGTAACGAAATAGAGCAAACTTTAGACATAACGTACCTACCATTTGTTCACAGAATGAATACTGGTGTAGCTTTGAGGTAAACTATTGTAGTGACTCACGTTTATCACGAGAACACGACTGGTTTAATAAAAACAATTATTATTATAACCAACTGTACCAGT